GGCTACACTGTTTTATTCTATTTTAGGGGTTTTTTTTGTTTCTTAATTAAGAGTATTTTCAAATGCACAACTGGTATTGCCAAGTGGTCATTTGTTATGCAACTTGTTTACCCTTTTGGTCTACCAGCACAAAGATTGTAATTCATTAAATATAACTTTTTCTATGAAAAGTTATTTCTTAGGGGAAAACACAGTCTGTGGTAGAAGAGAATAAAGTATGAACATATGTAAAGGATTTCACAGTAAAAGAAAAGCTTGAAATGTAGATATTTCCAAGCTAATTTAAATTAATTTTGGTCTATCGTTTCAACTAGCAGGAAAAAAAGTAAGAAAAAAACCCACAACCCACAGAACTATGGAATTAAGAACAAGTTAAAGACTGAACCTGCTTCTCCACCTTAGCTTAAGCATGGAGAGAAAGCTCCCATTGAGTCAAGGCATTTGGAGTAAATGCGAGTGTTTCAGCCCTGTGGAAACTGCTGGCAACCAGCTACCAGCAAACAGACACCCTCTCAGGCCCCTTATCTGCCTCTAATTTTGCTGCTCCTCCCCTTCGGAACCCATACAAGAATCCTGCACTATTTGAGATCAACCAACAAGAAAAAAGTTGGGTATTACAGAGCAAAGGCTGAGAGTGATACAACACATTGAAATAGTACACACAAAGGCAATTATACCTCACAAAATTACCTTACTTACTGTTTCAGTGCCTTGGTTTACAGACAGGGTATTTCTTACCCTTCACTTACATGATCAGGAGCTGCTGCAGCTCTGGGTTTACAGTACTACATTGTCTCTCCCTGTTTGAAATTTAATTTCAAATCTCCACTGAGCTCTTCTGCATCTCCCACATATTACACATCAGTCTTTAAATGCAAAGTAAAATGTGTGCCTAATAACGCAGCCATTATTGTGATGGCATACAAACTTGCACTAGATGCACCACACCAGTACACCAGCTCCCAGCATGCCAGCTCACTCTGGGGGCTTTCTCCTGCAAGAAAGTTCTCCCAGATCTTCCCAAGAGCTTCCCAACACCGAGATGCTGAGATGCCTCCATGACAGGCTATGGTCAGGGCTTTTGACTCATGTGGACAGGGATGAGGTCATTCCTTCTTTTGCTGGTTTGTTTGCTGGATCATGATTTGAGGCTGGAGAAAGCTGCTGTAGCAGCAGAGGCAGGTGATGAGGCTGCTGTCTTGCAATGAAGTTTCACTTCTCTGCATTAACACAGACTTTCTATACTACCATATCCAATCTGCTTGCCCACTCAGGGTCTCAGTTACACTCCCTGCCCTGCAGAGATGCTGGGAGGCAAAAAATAGTTTAAAGATTATGACAGTCTCAGTTACTACAGTAACAAGGACTTGCTGAAAAGCTCAGTTTATGACCAACACTAAATACGATGAACATCCATGACATAAGTGGACGCATCCATCCCCAACAGTACATTTCAGCAGCAACAACAGTTTAGCCACAGCAGCAGAGCTGGTATCATCCCTCTGCATCCTTCCCTTGTCAGACCTTTGGTATTTTCTTAATACCCAAATTCCAGCAACCAAGCTTTGGCAACTAATGATACCCAAACTTGAGCAATATTCAGTGCCATTACATCGCTGCCTGCCACGTCAATGGACCTTAATATGGTATCTGGCAAGACAGTGTTTGAAATTGTTCTTCAGAACTACAGAGTGACTCTAATATCAAGGAAAACTTCAATTAGGGAGAATTTGAAGCAAATTGTTTAGAAACTGAAGCATTGTAACAGTGACAGTAAAGCAATAGTTAAATAAGCTTTTGGTACCTTGTCACCAAGGCAAACAGAAACTTAGTTGGAAGATGTAACCTGGTTTATCCTTAGGCTGGCAAAGTAGCTACTGGAAGCGCACAAAGCATCATCTACTGCTTAATTTGTGTATTTCAGAAGCTTATTTTGATACTTCACGTTATGACAGGTCAGCTCAGATAAGAATCTGTTTCTTACAAGGGGAATCATTTACATTAAATTAACACAGTCAGTAGGGCACTCATCCCATCCTTCCAAGCAAGTGCAGAAATACAGGTAGTATTTTGTCCTTTGAATGACTGCTGAATCTACATTTAACCATATCTTCAGGTAAAAAAAGCTGCTCTCATAAATACACAATCAGAAGTCTTTTCTTCTATTATGTACAGAAATAAAAGCTTACATTGGAACAGTACTGCTAACTATATTCAGTGTTTAAGGCTGATGATAAAGACAGCATAAGAAAGAGGCAGATTGCTGTAGTAATTATAAAAAATGTAGCAGTCATTTGATGCTGCAGTTCTAAGCTTTTATTTAGGTAAAGTCTTTCAGAATACAGAGAATTTTCACACACAATGAGAATTTAGAAGGTATTCTGACAATTTAAATTTCCATTCCATTTTCTTTAATTTCTAAACTAAAACCACCTTATGTTGTTGAGATTTATTTTTAATGTAATTTCCTTTGAAAGCTTTGCTACGACATTCTACTTAATTTTAGCAGCAAACATAATCAAAACATTTCTCTTTCTGGTTTTTACGCCTCCATACATCACCACAACTCCCAACAAAGTCAAGAAAAGAAAAATAAAGTCTGGTTTTGTTTTTACATTAGCTTTAACAGAATTATGGTTACCCCTTTCACCTCAGCCTCTGATGGACTTCATCTGAAGTCTCCTGAGGACCATATGAAACTCTGAGGACCTGGGATGAGGATGAGGGAAGAGCCTCCAAGCCCAGGAGGGAAGCAGAGGAGGTTCAAGGCAGGCAAAGTATGCTCCGGAGTGAATCAGCCCTTCCTTCATCCACCTGAGCCATCCCCGAGGAGCAGCTGTGCTCCCAGGGATGTGCAACATGTCTTGCATTGCAGGGACAAACAAAAGATGCTCAAAGCTGAAAGTGAAGGATGAGATTTTGGCTCAAAGCTGTTTGCAAGAGTTGCCTAGCAGAGCACTTGCTAAGTGCCCAGGCCTGGATGTTTAAACAAGGGCTGGTCTCCCACACAGTCTCTTGTTCATGGCTAATCCCACAGTGAGGTCAAATAACGCCAGCTCTGAGTCACCACAACCATCTCCAAGGCAACTGGACGAATATACAGTGTAAACACATGATTACAAATTCACTGTCAAGTTCAGGAAGGAGGAGGAGGAAGAGCTGGGCTGAAATAAGTCATGCTCTTATTGAAATCAGAGTAGTCAGTGCTGAAGCAACACTGGACAAATGCATCAGTGTCAGTGGAGGGTATAAAAAAAAATTGTTTTTTTCCCATTTTGCTTCTCCCCACCACTCCCTTCACCATCAAAGTATATTTTTGTCAGGTAGTTTCTCCGAAATTAGGTATGAGCACAGAAGAACAGTCGCTTTACATCTGAGATGTCACCTCTTCCCTTGTACCGCAGCCCCGGACAGTGCTGTCAGGCAGGAATAGGACCACCTTTCCAAAAGGTCTGTTAAATCTTTGCTGATACAAGCTGCATTTTGGGACACCACCCATTCCCATCCCATGCCACAAGATCACAACTCTACTGGGTCAAAAAAAAAAAAAAAAATAAAAGCCCATTATAACTAAAGGAACAATTGAGAGCAATTCCCTCCTGTCCCTTCCAGATTTCCCACTAATAGTGACAAAACGAGCCCCAGGGAGCTCTCCCCAGGGACAGCTGTATTTGGGGTGGGCAGGACAGGCAGAGCCCCGCGCATCGCTCCAGCAGCCCCCACCCCAGCTGCATCCACCACTGCTCCGAGGCCATTAGGGCCAGCAATGATAGGAAAGCATCTCTCCAGCCTGGAAATCCCATCAAATGTGCTGGTTCCCGCACAGGCTGAAGGGGAACACTGAAGCTTTTCAGTTCCTTTCTTGGCGAAACAGCCATGGTCCCGAGGGGGAGGTGAGGTCATTGCAAGCGGGGCTGGCAGAGCCCTGCACCCGCCACACAAAGGCAGGGAAGGAGTCACCCCTTCTCCCTCCTCTGGGAGAAAATAAGCACTAATCTAATTGATTGCACGGGGCTCCAGTCGTCAGTAACCGTAAAAAGATTTCTCTTCCCAAGGCAACTGAACAACCCGAACAGCACAAAAAGAGGAGGAAATGAAAAAATACAGTGGCCAACTTTTAGCCATTCATTCCCAGGAGGATAAGCTCCTTAGCTCAAATTTTACTTCATGTGCATCTCTTATAAAACAATAATTACAAGACAGATAAAAAGCAAACCCAAGAAATACACTTGATCACTTAAGCAATACTATGTATAGAGAAAATGTCAGGCGTTTTTCTCACACTAGCATCAATGTGCTGCATAGCAACAAGTCAGAATGAAAGGTTAATGGTAAGGACTGCAGCCTGGAACATGCTCATTCCCACGGTCCTGAAGTCACCAAAGGAAAATGCTGTGCCGATTTGTTTTGTTTTGTAAGCGGCACGAAGGTTGATAAAGAGAGGTGGGCTTTAATGTGGCAACCCACCCCGCCTGAACCGACTGTGCTGGAGGGGTGGCACCAAGCACCATACGCTGCCTGCCACCGCCACATGAAACACCGTGTTGGCTCTGATCTGCACGATAGGATTTAGGGGAGAAGGGCTGTATTTCACCAGGATGACAGCAATAAACCTCACCAAGTGAAGCAGATCCTATGTCTAGGTAGGACTTACTGGGCTGTACACTATTTGGTCAATAGCATCTCCAACCTGGCAAATGTGTCTTCCATTATCGCTCGCATTTAGAAGCTTTTTAATATGTGTAAATATAACCGTGTGGTTTCTACAACAGAATCCCATAGCTGCACATTAAATAATTTCAGAGTTGTACAATTCTAGCAAAACTAAGCAAGAGATTTTTAAAAGGCAAAAGCAGTCATCCAGACCACACATTTACACACTTTGAAAGTGTAAATGAGGAAAAAGACAACCAATAAAACAGCATTACATATAGGTCCACTTGAATTAACCAGATTTCATAGACTGATACACTGATATGCAAAGAAAGGCAATTGTTTACCAGGAGAAATTGTCTCCAGACTTCCAGGATTAATCTTTCTTGTGCTTGTGCAGTGTTGGACAGTTGACCCAGTGAAGACCAAGTAAAAAACTACATCATCTTCAACTTTATCTTCCTCAGTCAGCTGCACTGTAATAACAGAGTCACCCTACGATAAAGGACAAGAAAAAGGTTAGGTTTACATTTGCAAGAAATGCATGATATAAAATAAAACTTCTCTACCTAGAAGACTCCCACTCCCTGTTCATACACTCCTTTCACATGACTTGGGGCCCATCCTAATTTTCAAATATGCAAGTCATCCTTAGCATGCCTCTTAGCACCACAGCTAGCCAACCAGCTAGCGAATACGTTGAGTGCAGCTCTGGGAAGAGATATGTAGAAATCTCAAGGGTATATTCAAAATAGCAACTTAATACAGTGAAATCACGCCAAGTCTGACAAACATGAGCACACACCCCACACAGGGTTTTTTATACACACACACATGCATATATACACTTATCCCCCCACATACATATAGGTAAAACAACAGAATTGGCATAGCGGCCTAAAACTGCCTCTGTCTTCATAAATTTGAACAAATTCCCCAAATCTTGCTTGAGCGTTCACATTTCCCCCATCCAAGCCAGCCACTATGTTGACAGTTCCAGTGTAACCAACTGAAGCATTGAATGCATCTCATCCAAAATTTATAAATGCACAAAGATACCAAAGTTTCATATCCACTGAGATTTTTTCCACCTTCCTTACAAAAAAACAACTGTGGCTCTACAGACAGCGGTAGCTCTTCTCACTCATCTGTAAAGCTCTGTATGTTATCAAAACCAGCAGTTCTTCAAGCCTTGAAAAGCAATCTGTTGTGATCTGTTGGCAGAATATTCCTCCTTAGTTTTAGAGAGGCTTTGTTTCAGTATCTCATTTTTTGCTCATCTTTTCTATCAGCAACAGTTATGTTCATAAAGGGCACACATGTTTATCATCGTTAACCCAGCACAGGATACAGTAAATACTCCTGATATTCATACACCTGCATGGACAAGAACAGGAGCGATACCCACCAACTTCAGTTTTCCATGGGGAAGGGAAAGCAAGGAAACAGGATGGCCTGAGGTTACTGCAGAACTAAGTGAAGCATTTTCATTTGATGTCACCATACATCATTTATCTGCCTGAAGAATTATATAAACTATGAGACAGTGAGAACAACAGACTGTGACATGACCTTTTGCCCCTTTTCTACCAAGATCAAAACCAGTTGGATGCCCCAGTTCTACACTGCAGCTGCATTAGCCAGCTCTCTGCCACCACCCCATTGAGCATATGGTTAAGGCTGCAAACCTGGAAAAGATTTTATTATTATTATTATTGTTGCTGCAGATTATATAATTCTAATTTGCATATCCAATAGAATACGCATGACATTTATTTTAAAACCTTCTCCTTAAGATCCCTCAGTTTCTCCCTTCTCTTTGTCAAATATAAATATTGCAGAAAAATCCCAGACTTCCAAGCCCTCACGTACACCCGTGCTGCATTAGCATCGCTGCCTCACGTCTCCCCCACCCTCCCTCATCTCAGCTCCTTCTGTGCCCCACCACCACAGCTGCCTCCTCCAAGTTCATGTCCGGTTCTCCTCTGATCTGGCCTGTCTGGTACCTCTTGCCAGGGGCAGGATTGCACCTTGTTTTGATAGAAACAAGGTTTTGCAGTGCAGCACACAACCAGCCCCTGGTCTTAAAAACAAATATATGGGTCAGTCTTATAACACACAGGAAAGAACCATGAATTCAAAAAAAGATAAATGGAACAGAGAGTCTAGTCTGCATTTCCAGAGGTTGCGGAGTTACAAATGCACATTTTAGGAAGGTCTCATGTGATAATACCAGACCAGACTTCCAGCTGGGGAGAAAGGAACCATGTAGCAAAAGTATATACTGTATATAGTCAGTGTTAAAATAAAAACAGGTGCAAAAAGAAATAAATCAAGCTTTAAATTCAAGCATGACTAGTTCACATGCTGAGTGGAAAACTAAATATTCCTTTTCAAGCAAATGGATCCAGTTTTGAGCGGATGTTCAAAAAAACAAAAGCTGAAGTTTTAACCTACAAACCCTTTGTGCTTTGGTTTTTACATCTGCCTTTGTTCAAACTGTTCCTCCCTTAAGGCATGAACATACAAACTACTTAAATGGACTTTAAGCGCAGGTGACATTTCAGGACACTCATCAACACAGCTGGTTGTCTGAAATGGTATCTGTTAAAGGAGATTTTTCTTCTATTTAACTCAGAAATCGAGTACAGCTAGTCCTATTCCTGCAAAAGGAAAGCAAATCCGCACAGAGCGCATGGGAGAAGACACCTGTTTATCCATGCAAACTACTCACATTTCAAGGAAAAGCACTTTAATTTGCAGCATTACTGCAAAAGTTGATTTGCATATTTTGTTATTGACAAAAAAGCATGTAAATACATGTAAGAAACCTCAACACCAGAGGTTCCACATAAACGGAAATTTGTCTAAACTGAGACTTAAAAAAAGATAGCTGAACTTCTTATACAGATACCTGACCTAATTTTGAGGGTCACTCTGCTTTGGAGGCTGGTCAGACCAGATGACCTCCAGCAGTTCTTTCCAACCAAATTATTCTACTCTCTGTATTTTAATTCACTTTATTTCAGTTATTGTTTAAGTGTAGGAGGAGCACAGATTATCATCAGCTGATACCAATTTAAAGGGCTTTTCAGCTGTGTCTAAGTAGCACTTTATGGTGGGACAGTCTCCACTACCCTCCTCCCCCTCTTCTGGGGGACCCTTCAGCAAAAGACTAAAGGGGAATGCACAATATCCTTATCATGATAATTTAGGATCTTTGGGGTTTTTTACTTGAAATTTTAAGTTATCTCCAAATATCAAGAGCAATAATGTGCCACTTAACGGCCGTGTGCTTCAGTTTACTTACAGGTGCCATCTCAGCTACCTCTTAGCTGTGCTGTGCCTGGTACAGCTCATGTATGTGCATGATGTGAGCTGAGATCCCAGAAGCAAAAGAGCAAAGCACTAAACAAGAAGGACCATCTTCCTTCAACATACATCTCTACTTGCCCGTCGTTAACAATTTAATTGCCTGCTGCCAATTTTAGTGTGATTTTTAAAAAGTTATATTCAAACAACTTATTTATTTGGAAAGGAAATAATGCACAGAACTAATCGCTCTCTTTCCAACATTTTTGAAGTTAAAGAAAATCAGTCACAAATGCAGCCAGATTCCTCCAACCCACATAGAAGACTTTTCAACAGCCCTATTGCATACAGACTCCAAAAACATTTTAATTGATGTATGTTTACCTTTATTCATTTAATATTGTCCAAAAAATGTCATCTGTTCAGTATCACTGCCACACAAGGTGGTTATTATAACCCCTCTTTCATCCCAAATGGCTAGAAATGGAAGGCCAGCCTGCCAATATCCCTTTGGTGAAAGTACAGACAGATCAAAGCCATTCTCTGGAATGCTCCAACAAATAAGAATAATTTAATTTCAAAACTAGTTTGGATGGACTAATATTTACTTGGCTTAAAGCCCATTGGAAATGAAAACATTCCATTTTGGTCCATTCATGAAAGAGGTCACACTCTCCCTCGTTCAGATCTGAAAATCTCTGGTTTCAGATAGCTGTAATGAGATGTAAAGAAGGTGGACGTGGCTCTTTACTCTAAATATATTCCCTTCCCCGAACCAAAGGGAGAAAGCAGGTCTGCCTTGCCAAGGGATGGATGCACTGGAAAAACTAAGCCTGACCTTGGGCTTTAAACCACCATGAAACAATTCAGAAAGGAACTTTACAGTGGCACATCTCTGAACCTTTGTCTTAATTAAGGCAGCAGAAATATCAGCAACAGGTACGTTTCTCTACAATGGACCGTGATGGGAAAAATATTCTTAGCATGCTGGCTAACATATTTTAAAGTTTCTAAAAGAAAAAAAAAAAAAAAAAAAAGAGGAAAAAAAGAACAAAAAATAAGACAAGCTGCACTTTTATAGCTGAAGCATGTGATTTCTAAGCTGGTTTTCCCCCCATGTTTCATAGTGGGAATTATGAAGTACGTTATCTAACCCATTAACCATTCACTCTGACTTCCCCCCCACACACACACACAGTCTATAAATACTTATTAAAATGAAGCATGCGTTAGATACTGAGGCACTCAAGCATTACTTCAGCATTCTGCTTTTAATGAGAAAACATTAACAAACAGTAACAGTTAATTTGTTCTACACAGAAAAGCAAAATTGCTGCTGACTACCACTGCCATCTCCGGCTGTATTTTCATGCAGGAAAAACCCAGGCAGTGCAATCCTACTGAATGCAAAGTCCATGAGCTAGATAGAGACTCACATGTAAGGAAAGAAACCTTTCTCCCAATATATCTCCTTCTAAAAGCTGTTGTAGATGTTGGTGTTACGATGCTTTATGAAAGAGGCTGGATTAGGTGCTGGGTTAGATGAGTAAATGTAACCTGCCACTGTAACAAGTTTCATTTAGTTTCCACTATTCATAGCATGAATCAGATGCTTGTTGGGTCATTGCTTATTGCATTATGTTGGGACACAAAAGGAGAAATATGCTTTTGAAACACTTTTTTTCTTCCCCTTTTGGAAGCTCTAAATAGAACCCAAGAGAGCTGCACTGTACCCAGGATGACAGCACAAATTCACAGTTGTGGTTTCTTCCTCCTCCTTCAAGGAATTCAGGCTCATTGGTACCTTTATTCACTTTTAGGTGGAGTTGGACTTGCTGTTACCCAAGCTACTACTTGACACAGACTACACAGGATCAGGCTGTAATTACAGCAGGAGGCAAGCCTTTTCACATCCCTGCACTTCGAGTTTCCCCATCAATGAAATGGGAATTGTGGTTCAAATACACTGAGTATTTTTCATCTAAATGGCTTTTAAAAGGACATCTGGCTTTTCAATCATATGACGTTTTCTTTGGAAAGTGGAAGACTGACAATAATTAAGTCAGACAAAATCAAAGGGAAAGTTGAGACAATTCTACCTCAAATTGAAAACTGCAGAATACTCGCAAATCAGCTGGAGGATAGAAAAGGAAACTGCAAGGCTGCTTAGAAAATGTAGCAGA